AAAAAAAAGAGAGTAAGAAAAAAAATGTGGTTCTTACTATCATTGCAGGGCGTTTGCCGGTCCAATGATAAAGCTACAGGGAATAGTGATTCCGGACTAGCATAAATAGTACTGAAAAAAAAAGAGATTAAGAAAAAAGAATAGTTCTTACAATCATTGCAGGGCTTTGTGCCGATCCAGTGATATAGCTATAGGGAATAGTGATTCCGGACTAGCGAAAACAGTACTTGAAAAAAAAAAGAGAAAATAGAAAAAAGCTACAGACTAATCATTCCGATCTAGCATAAAGTTGATAAAAGTTTTGTAGGGCTTAGTGCCGGAACAAAACTGATTATCACCAGAGTCTGAAGGGTCAGTATAGACCGGACCAGATGCTGTTTTGTCAGGATAATCGAACGATGTTTTACAGATTACAGTTGTTACAGATAACTAAAATTGTAATGGAGCGCGTGCGAGGACGCACGCATGTCAGTATGGCCGTGACGGCACCTGCACCGTTGTAGATGCGGTGGCGTCGGTCTAACAAGACAGAATTCTTGTAAACGACACGTGTACCGCACACCTGCGGCATCGCACCTGCGTTACCGCCCGTCCTGCTTGTATAAAACGGACTGAGCGGCCGCCGTTAAGACAGTCTTGGCTCTGACGTGGAACGGTACACTTGTCGTATTCCGTTACTAGTTTATCCTCGACTCATTGGATAATTAATTCGTGTAAACGAATTAATTATTATTCCTAACTACAAAATTAGTCTCTGTACTATACCCACTATACTTCCGACATATATATGTATATATATATATATATATATGTATGTATATTTGTATGTGCTGATATATGTGTATGTTAAATTTTAATATAATATACAATACTTTATGTATATACTCGGAAATATTTACTTTGAGTGAATGGTAGATTCATTATTTTTCGTTTATGTTGTTACCGATATAGTCGTGGGCGCAATACGGAATCAATATTTATTAGGGCTCCGCTGAAAATCAGCGCTGCTGCAGTATCTGTGGTAGCATATGCTGAGACGGAATCCTTTTGGCATCACATCACTCACTCTTGCTGAGATTTATTTTATTTTTATTTATGTTTTTCAACTACCTTGTATGGTTTTATGTGTTATTATTTCTAAATGTATATTTTGTGTGTGTATTGATGCTAATAAAACATATGTCTATGTCTATGTTTAAAAAACGACCGGAATTGATCAACAGAAAAGTAGTGGTCTTTTATCATAATAACGCCAGACCACTTCTTTCGCCACTCAGCATAAATTGAGAGAGCTCGGTTGGGAAGTGTTAATCCATCCACCATATAATCATGACCTTGCATCCTCACATTTTTACCTGTTGCGTTCTCTTCATAATAATTAGTCTGTCAAAACTACTTGTCGCATTCTTTTGATCAGAAATACCAAGATTTCAGCAATTACAGCAACGGGTTATTTCATTATCTACAAGATGGCAACAAATTATATATTATAATTAAATGTAATTAAATATTAAATAAAATGTTTGAATTTTTATATAAAATACGATAAACTTTTTTCCCGACCTTATATAAACTCAACAAAAAAAATCCGTGTCTGCTCCGACGGATGACTAGGGCTTACTAAACATCACCTTAAAATGTACACAATAGGCAAAGGAAGTAAATCATCATCATCATTATTATTACAGCCCTTCACAAGCCCACTGCTGGACATAGGCATCCCCCAAGGAATGCCACAAAGCACGGTCATGAGCCACCTGGATCCATCGACTTCCTACATGTCTTACCAGGTCGTCACTCCATGTAGTGGGGGTACGCCCTACACTTCATTCACCGGTACGAGGCCGCCACTCGAGAAACTTTTTTCCTCATCGGTTGTCGGTACTTCGAGCTATATGGCCGGCCCATTGCTACTTCAGCTTACTAATATTTTTACGTGGTAGAGCCATGCAGCAGCTATATTAATAATATAGTTGTAGCACGAATGGGTCGGTTCGACCGGGGAAGGACCACGCTCTCACAGAATACCAGCGTAAAATAGCAGCTTAATGCTGCTGCGTTTCATATGGTGAGTGTAGAGAACAGGAGACCCATTTTACTGGAAAAGAGGCATTCTATCTTAGTCCTCAAGGCTCACAACGCATCTGCATTTTAATTCACAAACGAGTATAGATGCAGATGTCTATGGGCCACAGCAACCACTTACCATCAGGTGGACTGTGTGCTCGCTTGTCACCCTAATTCTATAAAAAAAAAAAACTAATCCGTTGGGCTATGTCGGCCACTCTGGTTCTACTCCGGATATCCTCATTATATATATATATATATATATATATATATATATCCCATAGCTCACTGAGCGACCTTGAACTTCCTCATTCGGCCAGCAGTGAAGGACCCACGTCTCAGTTCCATAGGTCATCACTGGCAACACGCACTGGTTATACAGTCTCGTTTTCAAGTTTTGAGGTATACCTGACGCGAAGATGTGTCGTAATCTCCCGAACGCTGCCCAGCCAAGTTGAATCCGTCGATTGACTTCTCGGTCGAAGTTGGACTTACCTAGTCGGACTATTTGTCCCAGGTAAACATACTCGTCAACAACTTCGAGCTTAGTGCTTGCTCCCAACAACTACCGGCATAGGTGTGACATGGACATTATACATGATCTTTGTTTTGTCTGGAAGGGGTAGACCTAGACGGACATTTCAAGACCAAATCAGGGATTTCTTGAAAAAAGGCCAGGTTAGGAGCACCCTAAACCGTAGACCATGTATGAAGAGAATAATGAAAGTGGACGAAGCAAAACAAGTATGTAAGGATCATAGAAAGTGGAAAGAAGTGGTCTCTGCCTACCCCTACGGGAAAGAGGCGTGATTATATGTATGTATGTTTGTTTTGTCCATGTTCATCTTAAGACCTATCCGTTGGGAGGCACTATTGAGGTCATTGAGCAAAGTGCTTAGGTCCTCCAGCGATTCTGCCATAAGGACTATATCGAAGGTGAATAATGTACTCGCCGTTGATGTTAATACCGTATCCTTTCCAGTCCAGAACCTTGAAAACGTCTTCAAATGCAGCGGTGAAGAGTTTCGGGAATATAACCTCACGTTGTCTTACACCTCTCTGCAGTTGGATAGGTTTCGTACTCTGCTTCTGTACTCGGATAGCCATCGTAGCCCTACTGTACAAACAATTCAACACTTCGATATACCGAAAGTCAACTTAGCACCGATGCAGCACCGCCCAAATTTCGACGAAATCAAAGGCTTTCTCATAGTCCACATACGCCAGACATAGTGGTAAAATGTACTCCTCAGACTTCTGTACAATATACCGAAGGGTATGTATGTGGTCTACGTGCTAAAGCATTTTCGGAAACTGGCTTGTTCGGGAGGCTGGAGGTCGTTGAGTCTGCGGGCTTGACGATTCGTAATGATTCTCGAAAAGAGCATGTAGACGCGGCTCAGAAGGGAAATCGGTCTGTAGTTCTCCAAGAGAGCGTAGTCTCCTTTCTTGAAGCACAAAACCACCGCACTTCTGCTCCACGCCTCCGGTGTAGTGCCACCATGGAGGAGGAAATTAAAGAGCTTCTGAGGGACTTTAAGTACCGGTTTTCCACCCGCTTTCAGAAGTTCCGCTGTAATTCCATCCTCGCCTGGGGCCTTGCCGTTTTTAAGGTGCTGGAGAGCCATTCTAATCTCGCTCAGACTGACATCCGGAATATCATCGGAATAGTATCGGATAAGACTTGCTCTTGGATCGTTACTCACACTCTCGTGTGGCTACAACGATGATGTGTACCGCTGTCCATAGAACCACTCAATCTCACTCAAAATCTCAGGTGTCCCGGAAACGCTGCCACACACGGTCTTCAGATTCGACAGTTGGCTCTTTCTGGCAGACAGAGCTCTAGAAAAGGCTTTGGAGTCCTGGTTCCGCTCGATCGTTTCTTCAATACGAACAGTATTGTTAAGTCACGTCAAAATCGGTCCAGCCGTTTCGGAGATTAGCCGGAACAAACAGATAGACACAAAGACAGACAGACAGACAAAATTTTAAAAATATTGTTTTTTTATCTGTATCGTATATGCTTTCTTATGCATTTAGTAAAACGCTGTTATTTTAACATTACAAACAGACACTTTTATTTTATTTATTTGTATAGATTATGTAAAAACTAATATTCTGATTTCTTGCAAATGTTTTTGTATATACTTATATTATGCCTTATATTCGGCAATCATAAACCGATTTTAATGATACATATATTATTAAGTAGGTTATAATTTAGGGTTGGTCCCATATACATAAAAAATTGAAGAAATAGTCCTAATGACGGATAAATAGGGGATATAACTTATAATTTAAAATTTTGTACAACCGACTTCAATGTAAATTATTAAGAATAGCTCAAAAACTATTGGTCAGACCTTGATCAAATTTATATGGGACCACATGAGAAGCACCAGATTTCAAATAAAAAAAGAATCATCGAAATCGGTTCACCCATAAAAAACAATCCGGCCGAATTTAGTACCTCCTCCTTTTTGAAGTCGGTAGAAAAATTTTTAAAGTATCAATTCTTACTGTATTCTAGCTGTAATCTTGAGATTGTGATATTTTTACGTGGCCTTGCTGTAGCCATATTGTGGTTGCAGCACGAATGGGTCGGCTCGACCGAGGTAGGAGACCCGTTTTTACTGGAAACGAGGCATTCCATCTTAGTCCTCACGGGTGATAACGCATCTACATTTTGATTCGCAAACGAAGATAAATGTAGATGTCTATGGGCCACAGCAACCATTTACCATCAGGTGGACTGTGTGCTCGTTTGTCACCATTATCCTATAAAAAAAAAGCATGGACATTAGAGGCTTTTTGAAATTTAATATCTCGTACACTAGGGTTATTTAACCGTGTAATAAATTTTTTTTACACATAGTTAAATGCTACCACATACGCTAATTTTAAAACTAATAAAGATAAACATTACTAACGAGGTAGATTGGTCATCTTCGGGTACCATGGCGATGATATTCACACTCATGTTCACTCGCATCATGTAATTGATCCAGCATGCGAAAAATAGCATGACGGCCACGCTAAACCGCGCCGGTATGATGTCTGAAATATTAAAAAGATAAAGTTAAATTAAAATATTTATAGAATACAATTGGACATAACTAAACAATATTACGCGATATATATAATTTTCTGTCCTGTTCATAGTTTTCTGACTGGCTAGATTATATCCTTATTTGATAATCGATGCGAATAATATTAAAATATATAAAGGAATTATCGCTATTATAATTAAATGTACAGTCTATAAAACAAAACGCAGCAGCCTTCTAATAGCTTTTAGCCAAGCAACATTTTATCTTTTTTTTATCACTACGGGTTTTTTATGATAAGTATGTTTAAGGAAATCACTATATGAATGTAAACTTAGTTATGTATATAAATTTATTAAGGTAAAGAGTTTCAAAATTAAACTTCTATCTAATATTTCTTTTTTATGTAGGTATATATATATATATATATATATATATATATATATATATATATATATATATATATATATATGTATGTATGTATACAGTGTGCTTTCGCAAATCCTGTCAAATTCGCAATCAATTCTAAAAAAACCGGCCAAATGCGAGTTGGACTCGCGCACCGAGGGTTCCGAACAAATCCGTAGGTATTTAAGTTTAAAATTATTAAAAATATTTTTATCATATGATGTAACTAAAAATTTATGCTTTTCGCAATTTTTCCTTTATCTGTGCTATAATACCAAATTTTAAGATTCCGAGTTCACGGGAAGTACCCTGTAGGTTTTGATTCCCTTGCGAATGTCGAAAATTTGCGGCATAAACGGCTTTATCTTTTGATTGCGTTGGCTTAGAAGTTTGATTTTTTTCACAGTTCCAATTCCAAGGGACTGTAGACTTGAGTATTTGATATGAATTTCAGCTTGATACCTCCACGCGTTCCTGAGAAAAAAGGTCTTGACAGACAAACAGACGGACAACAAAGTAATCCTATAAGGGTTCCGTTTTCTCCTTTTGAGGTACGGAACCCTAACAATCAATTCTAGCTTTATTATTTAATTTTTATTCACGGTCATGTTATGATCAGATTTAGCGAGTTTTCAATGTCAAAACATCGAACTCGCCTTTATACATACAGCAACGGTTTGTTGTTATTGAAGTTGAGAAGCAAACATATTTTGATGGTTCTGTATTAGTGACCTAGAAGATATTAACTGAAAGTATTTTCTTGGAACGTAAACTTTCGAAATAATGTCAACATCAAGCTGACATTGACAACCTTCATTTGCTCGTTGCCCACTAACTACGACTTGGTAATTCGTATTTAATTAAAGATTTTAGGTGAGGCGAAAGCGAAAGTAGACAATCAACAGATCAGACGCATGAACTAGTTGTATTAGCCGAAATATGTCAAGCTGTGGTTCAAGTGAAACGAAACAAATCAGACACGATGATTGAGGGTAGGTAGCTAGTTGAATATAAATTTATTAACTACAAATTTATACTTTCACGTACTAATTTTATATATAAAAATATAGTTCTTGAGTATAAATAAAACGACATAGACAATTATTACAAACTGTTTTATTCATCTCTATTTCTGCAACTAAGCGACACTATCTATGTGTAATTTGAAACCGATATATAAAAATTACGTCATTTAAGAGTCCAAGGGCGTGATAAGCAAACACAATCCACCTGATGATACGTGAAGGCTGGTGTCTATAGATGTTTATTCTTGATTTAGAATCAAAATGCAAATGCGTTGTCACCTGTGAGGTAATATTCGTCTCGTTATTCGTTAAAACAATCTCCAACTCTCCTCACTCACCATATGAAACACGACAGTATTTTCACACTTGTGTTGTGTTCTGAGTTTCATGCTGCTCTACACTTACAAGACATCAGATTATAGACTCCATCTTTGTCTTTTTTCGTTAACAATTTCTAAGTGCCAAATTTAACATGTGATTTTGTTGTGGATTAAAAAGAGCAATAAGTATATTTGTCACGAATAAAAACCGATGCTTTTTTTTCATAGAATAAAGTTTACAAACGAGTACACAGTTCACTTGATGGTAAGTGGATGCTGAAGCCCATAGACATCTACTATGTACGTCTAACCTCGATAAGAATCAAAATGCAGATGCGTGGTCACCAGTCAGGATTAAGATTTAATGCTTAAGGTGGCCCTTGGACCATTCTAAGCCATGGACTTTAATATAACCTATTTATTATTCGGACAAAAGAGTTGTAGCCGTCTAGATCTTGGTGTAACCGTACTTCGGCTTTTAGAAATAACAAATAAATATTATAAATTCTTGTTATTTTAGCTAGAATAACATATTGAATTCTTATATTTATGCGAATACTACACATTTAAATAAAACTCGTTTTTACGGATTTTATGCGTAGATATATTAACTTATTTTATATTCCCGACGTTTCGAGCACTTTACAGCACCCATGGTCACGGGGAGGACTGAGATGTACGACGTCCTAATGTCACAGACGGCTACATCCAGAATAAAATTATTATTTTTTTAATTCAAATTTTTTCACAACAATTTTTGAACAAAAATGAAATAAAAATTAAGTTAATATACGCAATAAAATCCGTAAAAACTAGTTTTATTTAGAACTAGCTGGTACCAGGCTCATTGCTGCTGCAGAAGAAATAAGAAATTAATTAGTTTTAAATTTGGAAGAGTTATATTTTAGTTTAATTAGGAATGATGAAACATTATTGAAATTGAATGATATAGCACTTTCAAATAAATTTGTTAGTAAGTTAATTTTACCATGCCTACAACCTTCGCGGAAGTGCGAGCAAGTTTTACCGCGATCTAATGTACGGTATGCCTGTCTGCGCATAAAACACGAAGAAACGAGCATTAATTTTTATATATTAGATAACATAGTTTTTGTGTTTTAATATCGAATTGTATCTCAATAATAATAACCTACCTGGACAGGATTTGATCATGGCCGATGTGATTTATGACAAACATGGCCAAAACAGTTAGTGCTCTACAATTCTATAACGCAATTCATTATAAATATAAGGCACAAGGCCTTAGTCAGTTAATTAACATTTACCTTATTTTAAATTTCTGAGAATAGTTTTTAAAGGAGACAGGGATTTCTGAGGCTAAATGTATATTTGAGGTATGGTTTTAAAATAAGGGTTATACTTTTCTGTTGAAAAATTTGAAATGTAAAAAAAAATTGTTAGGATTACGAATAAAATTATCAATATAAAAAATTATCTCCAATGATCGATTGTATTTCTAGATTATCTGTAGGTGGTAGAATTCCTTATCTGCTTAGGAGTCCGCCTGGTCGATCTGGTGATTAATCGATAATATTATCGATTCTATCTATCTATCTATTACAGCCTTTAAGCGTCCGCTGCTGTACATAGGCCTCCCTCATAGAATGCTTCATGGGGGGATTTTGCCATAGTTGCCACGCTTGGAAATCGGATTGGCAACCTCAGTTTTTTGATTTTATTCAGCTGTTATTAGCAAGATGCTGCTGTCCGTCTCCTGTTTTAGTTTCCCTATGTCACCTCTTGGCGAGGAATGATATGGGGTAATTAGTATTCTTACACAACCACTGCACTATTATCGATTAATGTGAATTAATTGTTTTTAATTTTTTTAATAATTTCCAAACTAAAAAAACGTGAGTACCATATGCTATTTTTATAATAATACATTAATCCATTCTCAATTATATTTACTGAACGATTCTAAAGTAATCTATTGATTAAAGAGAAATGTTAATGTCGATTCTCGTTTACAAATCGATTCATTAACTATTTTCCTCGTTGTAGTGATAGCTGACAATGACAACTGACTGGACTAATAGCTCCCTTTGCCGATTTTATAGACTATTATTATTGCATTTTGCAGACTTCTCTTTTGATCACTAGTTTGCGTTTGCGTTTTCTCGATTGGTGCGTTTGCTTTTTTAAGGGTATCCCATTGTTTTCTACCACTGTACCTTTCTTTTTTCGGCCATATTTTACTTGTACCATAGAATATGTAATAATACAGGTACTTGTAAGACCTTAGCTATCGATATACCGGACTCGGAAAGTTTCGCTTAGGTACATCACTCGCACTCGTTATTTTGGATTACGACCGGCCTGTCGATTGGATATTGACACAATGGATCGCTGTTTAAATTGATGTATAACAGCTATGTAGATGCTGTAATACAATAATATTTAAAAATATAATGCAAAAAGACTTTGAGCTGCTGCGCCCATGTTGTGTCAATAATATGGTCCCTTATTTGAGCTAGATATAGGTAATATACTTTCACAATTATTAGATGTGAAATTATTAGATGTAAATTGTGGTTATAAATTTAAATTAATAAAAAACTAAAAGTATTATTACAAAACAACATCTTACATGATTTGCAAACGTCTATGATTTTTGATTTAACTAACATCCTTCCACTCCATAAATATAAGATCTATTTAAAAATATTAAATAAAACCAATAAGAAAACGGTTGTCGATAACCTCTCCTTTACCTACTAAATCGTGTATTATATGATTGTGAAAATTATTTCCAATTTCATTTTTCTTTCGTGGTTGAGCCACACTGCATACTTAATATAGTTATAACACGAATGGGTCTACTGTGGGAATGGACTACGCTCTCACAGAATAACAGAAATAGCAGCGTAATGCTGCATGCAAATGCAAGATTGTATGAAAGCACATCCGTCTACTTCACGTAAATTATCGTAGTAAACGAGATGCTTAACTGATGACAAAAAAAATGTACACGCTGTAGGTTATATTTACAACTTTTTAAGTCGCAGTATCTAATTCACTACCATAACTGCAATGGCAATCAACATTTTTAAATAATTATTTTAATTTTAAATAATAATTATCACGTGTTTTGACGTTGTAAAAGTTAATTTCCATTTATTATGCGAAGTTTATCTGCGTTACCAAACAGTACCATTGTTGTGTAGGTATTTTCATTGTGTGCCGTCATGGCGTCTCAATCGCTATTTAAGTACAGTACCTACTCAGCAATAACT